AAATAGGCCAACATATTAACTTTCACTTTAAGATCGTCAGAACTTAAATATGTAATCATATTTGAACGCTTATTTTGACCACATGCCGTTAAAACGTTAACCATGCTTGTTTGCAAATTGTAAATATTAGGAAGTATGCTTCAACATTGTTTAATCAATAGTGCTAATGTTGTTTTGAAAGCTTATGCAATTTCAGACAAAACATTCAAAGTATTGTGGAAAACAAAGTTGTCACTGAACGAATGTGTGATGAAAAAACCAAGTATACCTCAATTCATATTTGAACTTGACCAGACGCCATTTTAAAACATCAGTCATGTTTCTCCTCAAGTCCTCATACCGTCGTGTTTCAGCGTTGTGTTGGTGCTCTGCTCTCCGGTTGACATTCACGAGCCCCGGATGCTATCTAAATGATTAAACACCGCCGTTTTCAGCGCTAAATTGCGTCGTTTCAATCCGGCAGAGAGAGCGAGTTTCCCAGGAGTCGGCGCGGGTCCCGGCGGGCCTTCCTTCCAGGAGAACAGCATGTTGAACATCCACATAAAACGGGAAAATATGAGCGGTACTCTCCTCTTTATGACACAGAAATTAATCTGTCACCGCAGCTCGACGTAAATCTCAGGCCTGCTTTGCAAAATACTGTTTTAACCCCCTTTACTCTGTATTTTATCTTTTATTGGCAATAAACATAAAACAGCACAAAGGGGTAATGTCCTCATCAATATTATCACAAAACGATAATAAATTTGAAAGGCTTATAAACTTAAAGGAATATTCGTCCTCGAGGGAAACAATGGTTCATGTAGATCCTTTAAAGTTAGCTGTGTCCTTGAAGTAAACATTCTTGTGCTTATTAATAACTATTTGAATTAACTATTTCATTTATTTGGCTGTTTTAGAAACTATATTTTGTAATAAGGTTCTGTTTTATGTTTAGTTTTGTTTAGTAGGCTACAAAGTAGCTAGAATCACACTGCTTTTATTCATCATAAAGATTTTATTAATAAAATGTAAAAAATTACTTCGTAATGATAATTTAAAATAATAGAGATTAATAATAATCACATTTGACTGAATATTAAATACAGTTTTTTTTTATTAAATGAGGTTTTCATAATTCTGAAATTGCATATTTTTCTGACATGCATTAACTCCAGAATACACAAATATGTTCGATTATAAGTAAACAAATCATAATATTTCTATTGAGTGTTTTCCACAATATTATAACATGTATTATTCTATATGGAACAGATATATATATATATATATATATATATATATATATATATTTAATTTTCACTATAATTTATTGGACTACTTTTTGCCTAAATTATATGTATTTCGTAAAGCTAAAATATATTCATCAATTATTATATCCTAAAATTGGTAAATATAGTTCAATTTGGATAGTGCACGGATTTTAATCTGTATTCATAGTTTTTTTTTTTAACTAAATGTATATATTTAATGTTTTTTTTATATTTCTTTAGTTTTTGTTTACTATAGCATTGTTTTATTAACTTTTCCTTCGTGTAATGTCAGTATCAATAATAATATTAATTATATATGGATTTACAAATATAATATAAATAGTTTTAAAATTTTGTCCAATAGATAGATAGATAGATAGATAGATAGATAGATAGATAGATAGATAGATAGATAGATAAATCAAAGATTAATCGTATCCAAAACAAATTTTGTTTTGACGTAATATAGGTTTGTAAGTTATATCTATTATCAATATGTGACAAACATATACATAGTAACAAAACTATACCAAATATTTTGTAACATAGATATTTAAATTTATATAAATATAAATAAATGTATTCTCAAATATATGCATGCATTTATTTATGCATTTATATTTACATAATAAATATAAACAGTACACACACTTAAAACTGTGGTTAATTTTTGGCATATATATATATATATATTAGGGTTGCACTATACTGGAAAAAATATATATATATGCTATATATACATTCTCCTGATACCCCGCCCATTGACTTGTGTCTTCTGTAGTGGACATTGTGTTTTCATGAATTTGCTTTGAATTCTTGAGCTACTCTGTTAAGTCCTATTGTACTGTTCAGAGGACATCCTGGGCTTTCTAGTGATGTGTCATTGGATTGGCTGGCATGCTAGGAACCACTTCTTACACTGCATCCAATATGGCCAACATACAAAATGATGCACATTTTATGGGAAGGAGAGAGATATGTAAAATTAAGCTTTTTAAATGTTTTATTACTATAATTATTACATTTTATATTTGTTTATTAAAGTGTCAGGAACAATAAATTTAGCTTTCAAAGCTGTCAACTTGTTTGTGTTTGAAAATATCATCCTTTTTTAAATGTCCACTATAGTGGACACCAGGACCATCTTAATGTAATTAATGACTGCATGTTGTAGGGGGCAGAACTGAAGCAGAGAGGATTCTTTAAAAGATAGTTGAGGGAGACTGACTTAGAGTCAGACAATCTGACAATTACAGAATTAGAGACAATTAGAGAATGACAATCAGTTTTAAATCGCTTTTGGGTTAAATTTGTTTTGTATTAACGTCACTTCTTTTTTTTCTTTTTTTTTTTGGAGTTTGGCTCTCGTTTAGCCTAAACTGATTCAATATTCCAATACAAAGGGAAAAAAAAGGCTTTTGTTTTGTTTTTGTTACATTAATATTGGATTAATATGCCTTCACAGCCATATCCTGTACAAATTTGTTGTCTGAATGGTGGTAGTTTCGAACTAAAATGGTCCTGTGGTCCACTACAGTGGACATGCTGTAAAATTAAAAATAAAAACAAAATTTAAAAACTCTAAATTGTAGATTTTTTTTTAACCCAAAGGATGTAGGAAATCACAGAAAAAAAAGAAAAAAAAATCTTTGGGTCTCAGGAGGATATATATATATATATATATATATGTATATATATATATATATGGAGCACATATAAGTTCAATCTCAGATGGGATATTACAGAAAATTTTCAAAATCAATGCCAATATAAATAATGTTTATCCTCTCCTTTGCGCAGTTGGTCACTCAATCTTGTTTGCAGAAGGTGATCATGTCATCCACACCTCCATCTCTGACTGTGAGAAGGTTCTGAGAGGTGAGTGAAAGCCAGGCCTCGCAGTGTTTGCGTCTCATTAGGCTTGTGTTTCTCCTGCTGGGCCTTCACAAGTGCATTGTCAGGCGCTCAGCAAATCTCACCCTCAGAGACCACAAACTAAACACGTGGAGCAAACCTCGTTCTGCTATGCTAATGGAGTTTGCTGGAGGTTAAATTAACACTTTTAATTAAAAAATTAGCACCAAACAAACACGGCAAAACACACTAATGATTAAAACATCCAAACGAAGCCTCCGCGTCGGAGAAAACCCGTTTTATTGCTGCCATAAAGCACGTCGAGAGAGCAAGTTCACATCTCACAGCCAGTCGTTGGCCGATTATGTAGTGAAATGAATGGACTGAGTGAAGCGTGTCAATATGCTGCGGCTGATTATCATGGAAATGACTGGGCGGTAAAATACCAGTGTTCTGTAATTAAACCAGACGCGTGATGCATGCATTGACGAGCGTGGTTGAATCTGATCTCAAACTGCAGGGAAATATTGAGGCTCGTTTGTAAGTTACTGCTTTTGAAAAACCGAGGGATAAAATATGTTAATTCCGGCTGAGATCAAACATGAAGTATTTGTTGTTGAATAAAAAAGTAATGATTAAAAAGGCAGTGGCAAACATCAAAGTAAATCCCAGAGAGTAAAGCTGGCGATGTTTTCTGGCTGTTCTGTGCAAGCACACACACATATAGGCACAAATACACAAATACTGTGGTTTTGTCGCTCTCTAGTGGAAAGTTTACAAAACTGCAACCCAAATGTAGAAACGGAAACCCTCAAAACATTGAAGGCAGGAGTTATTTTCCGCCAAAGCCTAAGTACGAGTTACTTTAAAAATAATTTAGGTGGTAAATGAATGACTTATAAATTATTTAATGAGTGCATTTATCATTAAATACATATTTAGAAATTACTTATACTTAATATAATTTATTAATAAACACCTTTATATATTAATTGTATTGTATTACTAACAACACACACACACACACACACACACACACACACACACACACACATATATATATATATATATATATATATATATATATATATATATATATATATATATATATATATATATATATATATATGTGTGTGTGTGTGTGTGTGTGTGTGTATATATGTATGTATGTATGTATGTATATATATATTTGGATATATATATGTATGTATGTATGTATATATATATATATATATATATATATATATATATATATATATATATATATATATACAAATATATGTATATATTTATACACATACACACAATTTATTTGACAAATAAATCGAGAACAGTGAGACGTACATAAACTCAGAGTTGCAAGAAGCCATGTAACCTTATTTTTAAATAATTTTTAAGTTGCAATTCTAACTTTTGACTATTATATTTTTTTTTCTTTTTTTTATTATTAATATACAATGGGAAAAACACTTCCATGTAAACAGGCTTTGGATGTTTCTTTACTAATTTACTCACTCCCAGGGCCGTTTATATCGAAGTTGATATTTAGCCGTAGCATGTTGGTGTTTTGTAACATCAAATTTTTACAAGGTGGGTCGTTAATTCAACGTTTAACCCCCAACCTGGAGGACCAGGACATACACACAAACACTACGGACATTTTAGCTTACAACTGACCTAAAGCATGTCTTTGGACTTGTGCGGGAAACCGGAAAACCGCACCAACAGGGGAAGAACATGCAAACTCCAACTAAGCCAGCCGGGGCTTGAACCAGCGACCTTCTTGCTGTGAGGCGACGTCGCTACCCACTGCACCACCGTGCCGCCTGGGCTGTTACTTACAGGACAAAAAATGTGATAAATAAAAATAAAATAAAAAAGAGGGTTAAATAGAACTTTTCTGTAAATGTTTTTATTTCTTGGTTTAGATAATGGATAAAGCTGCAGCAGGGTAGAGAGTATATGGAGATCTCCATTTGGACCTCAGAGCTCCAGTTCTCCTCCAATCCTCAGTCGTCTCCATTGCACAGGTTCAGCAGGGCCCGCTGTTAATCTCCCTCTGTGTGCTTCTGTTAAAATCAAACACACAACAGTGCATATGAAGACAATTCACACTGTCACTAGCATCATTCTACACCTAGCTTTTGACATTTCACCATTATCATCATGCTGTCAATGCTCTAAAACATATTCAAGTGTTCAAAATCTTCAAAAACATGATAGCATCAAACTTAAACATGCTAACAATTTACTCCAATACAATACGCTAGTATATTAAAAATATTAGCAATGTGTTAAACATCTTGGTTGCTCAAATGTGCTAGCAGTGTGCAGTATGTTGAATGCTTAACATCAATGGTAGCAGCAAGCTTAAACTTTAAATAAACAGTGCAATCAAAATGCTAAAACATGCTTTGATCTTAATAGCAATATCTAAAACATGCTAACACAGTTTTAGTAAATGCTAGCAATCTGCTGCAACACGTTGAACATGCTAACAATGTACTAAAACATGCTAGTAGCATTATAAAAATCAATTAAAATGTACTAGAAGCAGGGTTTGTACAGTCATGGAAAACCTGGAAAAGTCATGGGCTGCGTGCGTAACCGCATACTTCCATACTAGATGCTAAAACATTTTAACCTAAATGTGATGTAATAATACATGCTGAAACATGATAGCAATGTGCTGGAACATGCTTTAAACTTGCTAACAACATAGTAATGAATGCTAAAATGTGCCAACAGAGATTTAGAGCATGGTGTCCTTGGGCTAAAACATGCTTAGCAATGTAGTAATACATGGTAGCAATGTACTGCATACCTCAACATGCTAAAACATGGTTGGCAGCATTTTACTAAAACACGTTAACAAAGTTTTAAAGCATGGTAGCAATGTGATAAATTATACGCTAAATTTGCTAGCATTATTATGAAGCGTCCCTGCTGAAAAAAACACAGCTTAAACCAGCCTAAGCTGGTTGGCTGGTTTTAGCTGGTTGACCAGTATGGTTTTAAAGGGGTTTTGGCTACTTCCAGGCTGGTTTAAGCTGGACATAGCTGGTTTTGGCTGGGCTCCCAGCCTAGCTAGGCTGGTCTAGCTGGTTTTAGCTGGTCATCTCCCAGCCTGACCAGCTAAGACCAGGCTGGAAATGGCTGGAAACCAGCCTGGAAGTGGCCAAAACCCCTCTAAAACCAGCCTAGTCGACCAGCTAAAGCCAGCCAACCAGCCTAGGCTGGTTTAAGCTGTTTTTTTTCAGCAGGGGTGTTAAAACGCTAACAGTTTTCAGCATGGTAGCAAAATGCAGCACGCTAAAACAAAGACAGTGGGCTAAATTATGCTAGTGAGAAGCTATCAATGTTCTAAAACGTGCAGGAAACGTGATAGGCTGATTTACGCAGTTGGTCAGATGTAGCCCTTACACAGTCGCACACCCTTTAACCCAAATGCGCACCTCTTGCGCACCTCAAATGTAACTACTTGTCGCATAGTGCAAGCTTTGTGATTGGTCAGCTTGGTAGCATCAACGAGTGCGGGCATGGCTAAGAGCCACGGGACAACAGCGAGCCCTTTAGGTTTTAAAGTGTGGAGTCCCATTGAGGAGCTCCAGATGGATAATTTTTGTGTTTTGAGTTTACTTTATGATTAAAGTTGTTGCACGTTCACCAGTTCCTGCCTCAGAATAAGCAAGTTTAAGCTACTTAAAATGTACAGTACAGTATAGTAAGGTAGTATTACAGGTTTGTAACACCTGGGAAGAAACTCAACAAAGAGGAACTTAAAAACCACATTGCCAGCTAGCATTTTTCAACGTGTTATTGCAGAGCAAAACAAAGGAGAAGAAGAAGGAGTTCTTCTTCTCCTTCTCCTTTGCTCCATTGCGCTGAAAGACACAAACAGCTAACATTAAAAGAGCAACACGATGCCTGATGTAATTCAACTGCAAGACATCTGAAACATCAGCAGATAGATTACAGATGAGCCACTTAATGCTTTCTTCAAATAACAGGAACGCATATAAAGGTGTTAGCAGAAGAAACTTTTTTTTACCTTTCAGACGTCATGCAGTCTTACATCGGTTTGTTTTTAATACACTGAACTGAGGAAGGGAAAATGTGGAGATTAGATTCAGCTGCTGGGTTAATAGTGGAAAAATGATTAACTGCAATGTATACATTATATAACTTTCAACATTTTTTTAAAAATTGCCCTTTTTCTTTAACGTTTTCTGACCCGCTCCTCCAAAACACAACAATGTTGCTTAGTAATATTTAGATCTGGTGGCTGGGCACTTTATGTTCATCAAACCACTCTGACACCAGTCTTGCTGTGGGTATTGGTGCTATATCATCCTGATACACTGCATTGCCTTCCGCCTTGGTCCCTGAACCGGACCCTCTCCAGCCCAAGGCTGTGCCTTAAAGTCAGTCCAGAAAAATTCTGAATAGAATTGGTGACAAGGGGAAGCCCTGCCGGAGGCCAACATGCACTGTTAGGACATGCTTTTAACATAATCAGAAATAAAATAGGTCATAAACTCGAGTAAACTACTTTTGTACTTTTCATACAGTACGCTGAGATCACAAGAAAAATAAGTCATTATTAGAAAACAATATATATATATATATATATATATATATATATATATATAACGAAGCATGGCCTCTAAATACCTCCATAAAAAGCAACAAAGATAAATAAATCCAAAAGATAAAAATATTACAAAGTTTCCAAGATAAACAAAACTATTGATAAAATCAAAACTTCAGTTTAACAATGAGCAACTTAGAAAAAACTAATCTGGAAAGAAATAAAATTACTAACAAGGATACAAATAAAAGGATAAACTGGACAATGTGTAGGGACTGGACAAGCTCAGGAACCAGGCACGAAGGAACACCAAACACAAAGCACACGGTAACACAATGCATAAAGCACAAGGCACAAAGCACCTTCATTTGAGTCCAGCTGTGTTTGATTATACTGATTGGATTTGATAAGGATCAGAACCCTTCCTAGAGCTGGCCATCCAGCCAAACTGAGCTCTTCGGGGAGAAGAGCCTTGGTGAGAGAGGTAAAGAAGAACCCAAAGACCACTGTGGCTGAGCTCCAGAGATGCGGTCGGGAGTGGGAGAAAGTTGTAGAAAGTCAACTAGACTTCCGTCAACATTTACCATCCAACCTGACAGAACTGGAGAGGATCTGCATGGAGGAATGGCAGAGGATCCTCAAATCCAGGTCTTTTTTTCTGTCAATATGGGGTGCTACGTGTACATTAATGAGGAACAATGAACTCAAATGATTTTAGCAAAGGCGACACGGTGGCTCAGTAGTTAGCACTGTTGCCTCACAGCAAGATGGTTGCTGATTTTAGTCCCAGCTAGGTCAGTTGACATTTCTGTGTGGAGTTTGCATGTTCTCCCTGCATTGGCGTTGGTTTCTTTCGGGTGCTCCGGTTACCCCCACAAGTCCAAACACATGCGCTGTAGATGAATTGAATGAGCTAAATTGGCCGAAGTGTATGTGTCTGAATCTGAGAGTGCATGGGTGTTTCCCAGTGATGGGCTGCAGCTGGAAGGGCATCCGCCGTGTAAAGTATATGCATACTAAAACATGTCAAGAACATTTTTAACAGAAGATAACATCAGAAGTCAGTTTTATGGGATGTTTGTAGATTAAGTGTATCACCAAGCCACTGGAAGGACTCCTGCAGTTCTTTTTTGGTGGAGTCCTCCTGCTCGTAGTAGTCCTTGTATTTTTCAAACACTGTGAAAGAAAATGCAAAATCCACATTTACTGGACACCTGCCTCTGTTTAATTAGATGGAATAAAGAGAGAAGTAAAAGGAGGCTCTCAAACCTTCCTTGAGGTGATGAAAGCTTTTCTTTGTCATGATGGTGATGTAGCTCTCCTTATCTTTGTCATCTTTTTGAAAATCACACAGCTTCTGCACAGGAAATAAATAATATAATATAACATAATATATGATATGATATACTGTAATATAATATAATATAATATATTATAATATAATATAATATAATATAATATAATATAATATAATATAATATAATTGACATTTACATTTAGTCATTTAGCAGACACTTTTATCCAAAGCGACTTACAAATGAGGACAATTTACACAACTATAAGAGCAACAATGAATAAGTGCTGTAGGCAAGTTTCAGGTATGTAAAGAAAGTGTAAGAAGCAAAACATTAGTAATTTTTTTTTTTTTTTGTAGTAGTAGTTAGTGGTGGAGCCAGAGAGGCAATTGCATATTAGTAAGGAAAGTGGAGACTAAATAGTTGAGTTTTTAGTCGTTTTTTGAAGACAGCGAGTGACTCTGCCGTTCTGATGCAGTTAGGGAGTTCATTCCACCAACTGGGCAGATTGAGCGTGAGCGTGAGTGTGAGCGTGAGTGTGAGCGCGAGCGCAGATTTTCTTCCCTCTTTGGGATGGAACCACGAGGCAACGTTCATTTACAGAACGCAAGTTTCTGGAGGGCCTATAAATCTGCAGAAGTGAGAGCAGATAAGACGGAGCAAAGCCAGAGGTCGCTTTGTAAGCAAACATCAGAGCTTTGAATTTGATGCGAGCAGCAACTGGCAGCCAGTGCAAACGGATGAGTAGCGGTGTGATGTGCTCTTTTAGGTTCAATAAAGACCACTCGTGCTGCTGCGTTCTGGAGCAGCTGAAGAGGTTTGATAGAGTTAGCTGGAAGCCCCGCTAATAGAGAGTTGCAATAGTCCAGTTTGGAGAGAACAAGAGCTTGAACAAGGAGTTGAGCTGCATGTTCAGATAGGAAGGGTCGGATCTTTCTGATGTTATAGAGTGCGAATCTGCACGATCGAGCAGTTCTAGAGATGTGGTCAGAGAAGTTAAGTTGGTCATCAATCGTTACTCCAAGGCTTTTTACCATTTTGGATGCAGTAATGGTTGCCTCATCCATCTGGATTGAAAAGTTGTGATGTAGAGTCGGGTTGGCAGAAACTTCAAGCATTTCTGTTTTCGTGAGGTTAAGCTGAAGATGATGATCTTTCAACCAGTGCGAAATGTCTGACAGGCAGGCTGAGATGCAAGCCGGAACCGAAGGATCATCAGGGTGAAAAGAGAGGTATAGCTGGGTATCATCAGCATAGCAGTGGTAGGAGAATCCATGTTTCTGGATGACTGATCCTAAAGATGTTGTGTAGATGGAGAAGAGAAGTGGCCCAAGAACAGAGCCCTGTGGTACCCCAGTGTTTAGATGCTGTAGTTTGGACACCTCTTCCCACCAAGACACCCTGAATGACCTGTCAGAGAGGTAAGATCTGAACCACTGAATAACAGTGCCTGCAACGCCCAGTGACTCAAGCGACCCTAGCCTGCTTAAATGAAGTGGGGAATAAACCAGAGTCAAGAGATGTGTTGATTATGTGAGTCAGTGTTGGTACGACTGCAGGAGAAATGGCATGGTATGTCTGTTTTGCAGAAGTAATCTCAGTCGAGAAAGAGGACAGAAGAGTTTGGTATGTTGGTGTGAGGTGTGCAGGATTTTTAGTTTTCCGCCAAATTCTCTCTGCAGCCCAAAGTTTTGAGCGATGCACAATGCAGAATTGTGTAATAGCAGGTACTTGTATTGAACAAAGGTTGTGAGGATTACGGCTAAAGCGTACCTACCGTGCTTTGCAGGTGTTAGTAACAACAGGAATTAGTAAACACATAATAAAAGTGTAAATGAAGACAATAATAAGTGCAAAGATAAAGTAAAGTAAAAAAGTAAAGTGCTCAAGTTCTTTGTCGGTGTCTTTGCTCAGTGGAGTCACACAGGTAGAGTCGATGGCGAAGGTAGAGTCGATGGTCTTTACACTCGCAGGTAGCGTCGATGGCGATATAGCGGAATTGGAGAAACCAAATTGTTTGTAGTGTATGAGTGTGTGTGAATATGAGTGTATGCGTGTTTCCCAGTACTGGGTTGCGGCTGGAAGGGCATCCGCTGCGTAAAACATGCTTGAATAGTTAGTTCATTCCACTGTGGCAACCCCAGATAAATAAATAAGGGAAGGAAGATAAGCTGAAGGAAAATTAGCTGTAGGAAAATGAATGAATTTTTTTAAATAGAGAATATAAATAATACAAACATTTTGAAATGTCTTAATATATAATACCAAACATTTCATATAATTAACTTCTATTCATATAAAAATATGGAATAAAAATTATAATAGTATGTAAACAGTTTATAATTTCCATAAATATTTAACATTTTACACAAACGCATATGAATATTTTATGTTTAAGTCAAAGTTTACATTTGTCTTGAAAAAAAAATAAAGATGTATAATACATTTTATATAAAGATATACTTTCTATGAATATATTAATATGAATTCTACATATTTAAATGTTTTTGAAATTTTAATATTTATCATTTACTTGCATCTTGATATTTACTCATATTGCAGTATAACACACAAGTCTATTATCTATATATCATGTATATGTATATTAAAATTAAATATTTTTAGTGTGTTATAAAGTTATGATCATTAACATTTAATTGAAGTTATTACTCTTCATGTTTATTATTGTATTTGTCATGCTTTTGTTTTAAACACCATTGAGTAATCAAAAAATGTTTGTCAATCAGTAAATCCAGATATGTTATTTAATGAAAAAATATTTAATTATTAAATTCTGAGAAATAAACCGCAAAGACTTACTCTGGCATCTTTATCAATTTGCTTGTCATCAACGGAATAAGGCTTCTCGTCTCTGTTGGCCTGAGAAGTTACAAATGATAAGCAGAAATGTTTAGGTTCTTAGTTTACTTTTAATTGTTCCTTATACATAGTGTTTAAAAATGCTAGCTGACCTCAAGCAGAGCAAGCAGGAGTTCCTTTAAGTCTCCTGAAGTAATTTCAGCCAGATACTTCTCCAGATCCTCCTTGAACACTGTGATGAGACACATGTTTATATCATAAGCACAAACTTCTAATCAGTGCAGTTAAACACTGCCATACTCACATTCCTTGTAGTCTTTTTTGATCTTCTTTATCTCATCATTGCTTCGACAGCCGAGGATCTCAATCAGTCTCCTAATGTCTATTGTAGGATTTTAAAAATACACAGATATTATGCTTGTGAGAAATGTAATGCTCACCTTAATAATTAATTTAGACATAATAAATGAGTACTATTACCTGATTTAATATCAGAATCTTTATTATTAGAATTCTGGCGATGAGTAGGAGAATCTGTTGAGTAATAATAATAATAATAAAAATACATTTTATTTGTAATGCGCTTTTCTTATACTCAAAGCGCTACAGGCAAAACACTAAAACACAATGCAAGCAAAACAGCACAACAATAAAACAATAAAAAGATGAACCATAAGATAGAAATAAAAGTTAAACAAAATGATCATCCTAAATTAAAAGCAAGGCTAAAAAGGTGAGTCTTAAGAAGTTCATTCCTAAAGCCTGGTTTATACTTCTGCGTCAAGTGACCGGCGTAACCCACGGCGCATGCAACGCGCATAGCTGTGCATTTATACTCCTGTCTCTGTTAGTCTGCATTAACACTTCCGAAACGCTAGTTGGCAGTGAGGTGTAAATGTGTCTCTGTGTCGAGTTTCTTCGCTGCTGTTTTGCTTTTCCTGAACACTTCCTGGATGTACAAGTGGCTCGAACTCGCTCATTTTGAGGCAGGAACCGGCGGACATGCAACAACTTTAACTATGAGGTAAACACAAAACAAAACTTTCCATCCGGAGCTCCTTCACGAGACTCCATTGGGCTCACGCCATTCGCACAGCTCTCGGTCCCTCCCAGACTCGTCAGCGCTACCAAGCCGACCAATCACAGAGCTTGCGCTATGCGTTGTTGCAACATGTAGTTACATTTTTTGTGAGGTGCACGTCACTGAAACCAACGGGTCAACGCCGTAGCATACGCGGGCGTTTGACACAGAAGTATAAATCAGCCTTAATACTGATGGGTAGTTCATTCCAAAGCTTAGGTGCACTGTGTGAAAAAGCCCTCCCACCCATGGTCTTGAGTTTCCACCATGGCTGATGCAATGTAAGTGCCAATGCAGAACGAAGACTGCGTGCTGGGGTGGCGAGGGTCACCAGGTCGCAGATGTGACTGGGTGCTAACCCATGCACTGCTTTGAAAGTTAAAATCAAGGTCTTAAAATCAATCCGTGATTTAACAGGAAGCCATTGTAATCGTTGTCGCACAGGAGTAATATGGTGGCGTGATGATGTGTGTGTTAGAACCTGTGCAGCCGAATTTTGTATAGATTGTAGTCTTCTGAGAGAACTTGCAGGTAAACCCCCAAAAAGTGAATTACAAAAATTAAGACGTGCTGTGATGAAGGCATGGATAAGCTTCTCTGCATCAGGTCGTGAGAGAAATGGTCTGATCAAGGTCTGAGTAACTTTTTTGCACTTCAATTTTGCACTTCAAAATTCACCACATACTGTATTCTCTATTCTCTATTGGTCAGGACTGTAGACAGGCCAGTCAAGTACCTGTATCCTCTTCCTCCATAGTCAGGACTTTGTAATGTGTGCAGAATATGGTTTTGCATTTGTTAAAGGCAGCATATTGTGCTCTAAAATCTCTGTACTTTTCAGCATTCATGGTGCATCACAGAACTGCAAGTTCCCCTTCGGTTGGGGAACTTCAGCGCTATACAGTGGATTTGATCTTGGGAAAATCCACGTATGGGGAGGATTCGGACCAGAAGCCGCTTGTCTGAAGAGTATTGAACGGGCCAATGAATGAAATTAATGCATTGCCAATTATCCCAGCAAATAAGCACACCTGGAGCGAGCAAACACCATCCTTTTCGCTTTAGATCCTTTCTGAGTGAGTTGATGAGGGTTCCTCTTGCTAATTAAGCACTTCAGAGCGAACGAGTGTCTCCCGGTCCAGAGTGGGTTTTCGCGGCGGCAGACGGTCGAGCTGGGTTTTTCCCTTGCCTGCGGTTCTTTGGGTCCGGTCCTCCAGAGCGATGCCTATTGTTGCTAAGCTTTCCTAAAAGAGCAACACAGTCGTGCAGCACGTCCTTTTCAGGATGGCGCTCCGACTGTGCGTTTCTGGATGCGGGGGTTTCCTGGCTCCGGATGATGGACACGATCACTGCATTGCATGTTTCGGGGTCCAGCATGTTAATGCGGTGCTCGTGGGCGGTTCATGTCGTCATTGCGATGCCATGACCGTTGCACAGCTAAGATCGCGGCTAACTTTCGTAAGAGAGCGAGCCACCTCAGTTGCCTCCTGTTCTTAAAAAGCAGCTGGCGCTCGGGCATATCTGAGGGTCCCAGTGGGAGGTAATCCGCCGCCCAAGGGCTCGCGGACCTCTCGCTCCTCACAGCGCTCCATCCAAGCTTCGGGCAGTGGGAGTGATCCGTCCAACCAGATGGTAGCTCTCACGCTCGCTGACACCAGAGATCAGATGTCCTCCGCGGCATCGGAGGGTGGGCTTTCACTGTCCGACGAAGATCCGGACCCGCTCGCACCCTCCGGGCAGGTGAGCTCCATCAAATCAGATCCTGAAGCGGACATGTTAGCCGTGCTTTCCCGGGCTGCTTCGGCCGTGGGGTTGGAGCTGGTTTATCCCCCAGCTCCACGGCCGAACTGACTAGATGGGTGCTACATAGAGGACCAGAAGGCGAAGCCTTCGACGCCTCTCGTCCCCTTCTTCCCGGAAGTGCACAGTAGGCTCACGCAGTCTTGGAGGGCACCTTTCTCTGCCCGTGCTGCGTGTCTCTCTGCCCTCACCGCCTTTGATGGCGGAGCTGCCAGGGGGTATGAGGCAATCCCGTTAGTGGAGCGCGCTATCGCAGTCAATCTTTGTTCGTGTGGCACCTCTACATGGCGAGGTTTGCCCCACCTCCCGTCCAAAGCCTGTAGGTTTTCTCCCTCGGAGCCTCCCTCAGAGCCAGAGCTTATAAGGCTGTGGGCCAGGCTGCTTCTGCTTTGTACGCGATGGCCACCTACCAGCGCTACCAAGCGCAGGCGCTGGCCGAGCTGCACGAGGGTGGATCTAACCCAGGCTTACTACATGAACTGCGCACCGCGACCGACTATGCTCTTTGGACTACTAAGTCCGCCACGTGTGCGCTGGGGAGGACGATGTCCACACTTGTGGTTCAGGAACGCCACCTCTGGCTAAACCTGGCTAATATGCGCGATGTTGACAAAGTTCGCTTTCTTAACTCGCCCATATCCCAGGCTGGCCTGTTTGGCGACACCGTCGGTGAATTCACCCAGGAATTCAAGGCGGTGAAAGAACAGTCGGATGCGATGGGCAATGTCATCTATTGGCGCAGCCGTAAGCCCGCTCCGCCCGCCGAGCCATCCACCTCCGCTGCTCCTCGCCGAGGGCGCCCGCCAACGAGTGCTGCCCCGCCCCCGCCTGCGACACCTCAAAAGCAGGCAGCCCCCCCAGGGCGCCGTTAAGTCCAGTAAATGGACCGCGAAGCGTCCTTGAGACAGGCCATCCGGAGAAGAGGAAACTTGCTCTTCTGTCCGCTGGAGGACAGGGCCCCGATTACAACGGTACTTTTCAGTGCCACCAAAACAACAATGAAAGAGCACTTTTCCCCTTCCCCGGATGTGAAAGCACGAACTCTGCCAATCCAGGACGCGCTGCTGGATTCGCAGATTCGCAGATTCTACGTGCTTCACCAGTGGCTTACAAGCGCTGGGGGGACGGTATCCCTTCCCTCAGCCCTCCAGCCCCTTCTCCGGAGTCAGGGTGCGGAGCCAGAGCGAATCGCTCTCCTCCAGCTCTTCCGCGGGACCTTCGTGCTTCCCGGATTAGCACACCCACTCCGCGCTGCCCCACCGCTGGTACGTCAAGCAATTGTAGCGATGACTCCATTAGCGAGGGCTCTGCCTGCCTGTTTAGTGTGGGCCAGCCCCTCGCGGTGGCTCAGACGCACAATCAGACTCGGTTACGCGATTCAGTTCGTGAAACGGCCCCCCAAGTTCACGGGTGTGTATTTCACCAGGGTCAACCCCCTGTCCGCCCCTGTCTTGCGAGAGGAGATTGCTGCCCTCCTGGCGAAGGGTGCAATTGAGCCAGTTCCTCCAGCCGAGATGGAGAGTGGGTTTTACAGCCCATACTTCATCGTACCCAAAAAGAGCGTTGGGTCAAGACCAATCCTAGATCTGCGCGTTTTGAACCGCTGTCTGCACAAGCTGCCGTTCAGAATGCTTACGCAGAGGCGCATTCTCCAATGCGTTTGTCCTCGGGATTGGTTTGCAGCCATAGACCTGAAGGACGCGTAATTCCATGTGTCCATTCTTCCACACCACCGCCAATTGCTGCGGTTTGCGTTCGAGGGTCGAGCGTGGCAGTACAAGGTCCTCCCCTTCGGGCTCTCTCTGTCTCCGCGGGTCTTCACCAAACTCGCGGAGGGTGCCTTAGCGCCTTTTCAGGACGGTCTGGAGTCACCCGTGGCTCAATCGTGCAGCTGATGCGCTCTCACGATTGCATCCTCTTGGGCGCGTGCACGCGGCGCCTCTCTAATAGACATCTGTAGAGCTGCGAGCTGGGCGACACCCAACACATTTGCAAGGTTTTACAATCTGCGAGTGGAGCCGGTTTCCTCAAGGGTATTAGGTAACCCTTTGGTGATTGAGGAATCAACTTGGTAGGGTGTTGAGACACGCTTGCTGCGCCATTCTCTGGAGATACGTGCGCCTTTTTATCTGTCAGTAAAGTTCCCCGTCAGGTGAGCCCTGCAGATTCCTCCGTGGCCCCCAGCACTGACTCAGCGGAGGAGTCACTTGCTGGCCCACTATGTTGTAGGTCTGCCCGCTGGTCAGCCCGCGTTTTGGGTATAGGTGCCTGCTATGCGTGATCCCCACTAGGCGATCCCATATGCTTATTCCGCCACGGTTAAGTCCCCCCCCTGGGAGGACCCGTGACTTTCCTCTCCGCTAATCACTTTTTTGCTATACGTACTCCCCCTTTTTAGGGCTAGTCCATATGTAAATTCTGCCATCTATCCCCCCATGGGTAGTGGATGGCCTCCGCAGCGTCCTCCCTATCGGGATAGTATTTTCCTAGAATTATCTAGATGCTCACGACTTCCCAAAAATATATCTAAATCTGTAAGACTTCTGTTGAAGTAGGATAAATTAGGACCGCGCCTCCCATTATGTGGGTGCATCACGCTTGCTTGACTATCCCCTCATCTGGGGCATTGGTAAGGTGCAGTCATTATGGCGCTTTCCATAGTTCTCCCATACGTGGATTTTCCCAAGATCAAATCCACTGTATAGCACTGAAGTTCCCCAACCGAAGGGGAACGTTCGAGGTTACAGAAGTAACCCTTCGTTTCCCGAGGAGGGGAACGGAAGTGCTATACTCCGTCGCCATAATGACTGTCCCTTAGCTGTTTGGAACTCTCTTCAGCTTAAAAGGATGGCGTTTGCTCGCTCCAGGTGTGCTTATATGCTGGGATAATTGGCAATGCAGCACATCTGTGCAAGCTTACGCTGCCAATTTATTTCATTCATTGGCCCGTTCAATACTCTTCAGACAAGCGGCTTCTGATCCGAATCCTCCCCATACGTGGATTTTCCCAAGATCAAATCCACTGTATAGCACTTCCATTCCCCTCCTCGGGGAACGAAGGGTTACTTCTGTAACCTCGAACTTTACCTTTGCCAAGGACACTGACACAACCCCATACCATAACAAACCCTGGCTTTTGGATTTGTTACTGGTAACAGTCTGGGTGATCTTTCTTCTTTGCTCCAGAGCATGTGGTGTCTATTTCTCGCCGATTTACCAGATTACTAGCTCTAAACTGCTCCTGTCTCAACAATTTTTTTAATGTGTGGCAGGTCTGAATAACAGGAAAGGATGTATATTTACAAATGAAATGAAGTTGACCGAACAAAACATGAACTATGTTGTGTTCATATTGTCTGCAATGAAATACAAGTCAAACAAAATATGGAAATCACTACCTTCTTATGATAAAATAGTTCCAGTATCTAATGAATGAGTACTAGTGTTTGATCAATTAGTTCCAGTATCTAATGAGTAACTAGTATTTAATGGGTGCAGTTGTTAACAGACTGACCTTCCTGCATCGCCATTTAGAAGTGATCTTCTGCTGATAATTGTATGGCGTTTGGTGAGGATGTCATTTATGGTTTGCTTAACCACCCCAAAAACAAATAATTTTGTTTATTAATCAAAACTGTAAGAAAATATCACAAAACATGTTTTTGTAGTTTGTAGTATGTTCAGAGTAATAAAGTCATTAAATGTAATAATCGAATGTATTAGTCTATAAATTTCTGCATCCGTTTGCTCCATCAGGACATTATTTGGAGTTTCTTCAGGACTGTGGTTCCTGCAATTAGGCGTTGGTCTGGAAATGTTCCTCATGTGGTTGGTTCTCTTCCAGACAGGACGAGTAACTCACTTTTGCCACTGTGGCCTGTTTATACTTCATCAAGGGTTCAGCACACATGGCCCACTACAACACTACAGTGTCTACTGTTTGTGTAATGTCTCATCATCATGATCTGTTCTGGAAAGCACAGAGCGGCTTTGTCTCTTACCTTTAGCTGTGTTAGTTGTGATAGCCTCAATGTCATCTCTGAGCTTCAAAAAATACAAAATACAAAATATACAAAAAATAGAAAACACAGCCAATAGGATATATATATATATATATATATATATATATATATATATATATATTGATTACATCTTTTGGTAGTGAAAAATAAACATGGAAATAAAAACAACCAATAGCGTTTAACTTACCGAAGCTATAAACCTACTATGCAGATACCAGAGAACATTTTAACTTATTAAACCAATGCAGTAAATGGTACCTTTAAGCATTTTTTTTTAGCTACAAACCAAACCAGTGTTATACATTGACTTGCCAAATTACCCTTACATGCCTATTTAATCTAGTTAAGCCTTTAAATGTCACTTTGAGGTGAATACTAGTGTCTTAAAAATATCTATTATTATTGGTAAAGGTAAAATAAATCAGGTTTTAAAACTATTATGTTTAAAAACGTGTTGAAAAAAATATCTTCCCTCCATTAAACAGAAATTGGGAAAAAACATAAAGGAATCTAAATTTGACAGAAGAGCGGAAAATTTTGACCTCAACTGTATAAAATTCTCAGCATGAAAATGAGCACTTACTTCTCTGATGCGCTTTGAATTGGATGACCCCATCCTGATCTTCCTGTGTTGCAAACACACACACATTTATTTCCATCAGAGTTTGCCACTTATATTTGTCATGAAATCAAATCCCCAACTCATTTACATTGGGTTTCTAAAGCTTAAATGATAGTAAACGCAACTCAGTCACATGGACTACAGAGTTTCATAATGCAGAACTAAAGCATTTCACAAACTCTTAAAACACCTCATCCGGCCAAACAGAGTCAGAAAAGTGACACAACATATCAAACACTTTAAATGAAGAGACATATAGACATAAATAGATTCTTTCCATATTAAAATTAATGCCATACCTTCCAAATTCCATAATAATGTAAAAGTTGTAGTGTCACCCTGAAAGATTAAAGAAATAAACTGTATTTGTAATTTAAAACACTTTAGTTGCTTAATTAGTATAATTAGTGCATCATTTAGGAGTTGAATAAAAAGGTTTTAAAATACCTTGCTGATCGGCAGATCTCAGAGACAATGCGGAGCAAGCAGAACAAAGCCTGAGCAGTTGAATGTTAGTTCTGCCTCTCGGATCACTACCTCCCCCCTTTTATCTAGTTCTGGAAATGAAAGCAGGTTCAGGAAACGGTTTATGATTACAATCTGTATGGAAATGAAGGATGTTCTTGTTAACTGTAGGGGTTTCCCAAAAGCTAAATACAGGAGTACTGCCCAGACATCCAGCAAATGCATAAAGACAACAGATTAATGTCTCTGACACTAATAGAGTTTGAAATGAAATGAGAATTTTAAAACACAAATAATATAACTATTCAATTAAAGGGCACCTATTTTACCTCTTTCAAGATTTAAGAAAAGCCTTTTGTGTCTCCAGAATGTGTCTGTAAAGATTCAGCTCAAAACACCCATCTGATTATTTATTAGACCTTTCAGAATGTTGGAGTTTTCTGCTTTAAGCACTATGCGGCTGTTTTAATGGCCTGTGCCTTTAACGCTGGCTCTCCCCGTCCACCGTCACTGTCAGAGTGTGCCTCAATCTCCGCCTCGGCTTCGTCAGATAAACAGCACAGTGACAGACATAAAGAAAGCAGATCTCGTGGGTAACGTTTGTGAGAAACAGTAAGTACTTTCCCAATGATTATTTGATGTATTTGTTGTGGAGTTAAATGTTGTTACAACATTACACAGCAAATGTAACAGGGTACACGGTAATACCACTGCTGTATGTATATCCATTATGTTAATGTACAAAATAAAACCACAAACCGGGATTGAAGCATCTTATTTTATAATCGCACTGACATGCGGCTGCGGTGATAAGGTGAAAATGGTAAAATTGCTTTTATTCATTACAAACATGCACTCTTTTAGAAACGTTTTAAACTTGTAAAACTCATTCTTGATCACATTTTAGGATAATTGATGATCACAGAGCGCTGAACAGATCTTCTAATCTCGGTTGCTTGCCGCATGTCCTGTCTTGTTGATATGATTATTTGCGTTACTACAGAGACATGTTAATACGGTTTGTGGGGAAACCTCACTCTTATGACACATGCGGTCAGCCTCAAAATGGGAAGGATTTTTTTATCCTGTCAGGACATCAGGAAATTTAAAAAAAGAAACTTTATGGCTGTTTCTCAATATGCGTTCTTCAGCGGTTTTGCGTCCTCGTGTTCTCGAGCAACGTCATCATCAGCTGCCCAAGTTCAGTTCCAATACTCAAGACCGCAAGTACGGAGGACGCGTGAAACTTCCCGGATGTGATCTTGATATCGAGAACGCAACAATGCAGACTTGAGCACCGAACTTGCTCTGGAAGCCCCAGAAGTCATTGCGACTGGAGGTGGGAAGCGCTGCATTTTATTTAGATTTATTATTAAAGTTCAGAGATATGACTTATTTACCTCAGGAGTTTCCCCAAATGAAACAGTGAAAATAAACTTTAACATGAATATCTTAATAAAGGAATAAACACATTAAGGGTGTTTGTTTGCTGAAATTCGTATTAAAATCAGTTTTATTTATATTGTGCAGAGTATATTTATAATGTTTTTATGCAAAGTATATATTTTGAAGAGGGGAAAACAATAAATGGTTGTATGACTGCTGTAATGTTTAAATAATTTCTATTTAAAACACGTGAAAGTCACGTGACTATCAGGAAGAACGCAGCATCCCATTTCTCAAAGGAGGCATTCTCTGCCCTCTCGGTCTCCCGAGTTCGTTCTTCCGAGGACACCTGGCAAGACCGCTCTCCACAAGAACTCAAGTCCATTCTCTGCGTTCTTGGAATTGAGAAACAGCCTATGTCTGTGCCATTATTGTTGAGATACTGCAAATATTTTGATATGTTTGACAATTCAAACATGAGCTGAAAACAACGGTTGACGGTTGAGACGGTTGACTATACAACACAGCAGGTGGGAATGCTGGAAAAACCAGCACCTGCATCATTTGCATCTGAGTCTGTTAAAACTCGGCTTCAACCACCCCAACTCACACATCTGCTCATGTTTGAATGTTTTAGATTAACCAAAGTGACTTTATCTATCATGTTTGATATCATTTGAAATGTCTCAGTGCGACTGGTACAATGGTCTCATTCTCTCAGAAACAGACATAATCAAAAAATTCTTTTGAACCACTGTGAAGGGTGTGACTTTCCCACCGGCAGCACTAAATGCAAATACCTTTTGTTATGCAAACACCCCTTGGGGGAATTCTTGGATTACTTAAGGTAAGGTTTGAGAAAGGCTCAGGGCGATTCTGCTTACCCAGATCAGCCCGTAACATGGAGCTTATGCTCCTTGTTATGTATATTTTGAAGTCAGGTATGCATCTTTTCATCTTGGATTTGTCTTTAATAATTTGATGTCTTGTATTGATCGTTTATGAATTGACTGATTGAATTGGCATAATACACTTACCTGACTAATAAATTGTTATGTTTTGAATTATTCAAACCTCGTGTTATTATCACTGGTAAATGTTGTTGTCCATAGCACTACAAGCCACTGTACAGGTTAGTAACGGACCAAAACATGGTAGACGGAGCAGCGTGGCACGCTATACAATGTTGTTAGAGATCCGACTAACAAATTGGCATTAATTCAAGTATACTTAGACTGTAAAAGGCCAACTATGGGTTTTCTCTTTAGAACAACAAAATATTGTTGAAACTAATCTAAATGTGGGTATTTAGGCCTTCATCTACAAACTTATAATCCTGTGCGATTATTATTAAAATACTTTGTCTTGATTAAGTAGATAACAGATCTATGGGGACCACATAAAAATCTCCTAAATTGAGTAATGTAGGGTTCTGCCTTTTTAGGAGAGTGGTTAATCGCCTCTGTTAAATGACCAAGACTGACAAGCTTGTATTAAGAGATTGTATACCCGGCCGGTGCAAGACTCGGGATGCTATAGGAATCTGAGTAAATGAGAATAAGGTATAATAACAAATCAAAAGAATATTCAATCATAATCTAAAATAATGTGAAAGGAAACAAAATAATCTTATCAATGTTTTATAATTGGAGTCAGATAAAACGAGGATAAATGTATATTCTATATATTAGAATATATATTCTAATTCTAAACCACCTCATATTAAAATTGGAGTCAGATATGAGTTAAGTTTAAAATAAATCAACATTGGATACCGTCATTGGACCAACTGGCTGGACCCTACAGTATTGTGATCATGAAAAATAATGAAATACAAAACAACATTGTGCTGTTCAAATTTCACTCCATTGCAGCAGTACAGCGCTCAGCTTCTCACAAGTACACTTCACACAGATCTTCTTTTTTATTTTAAAGAGGTGGTCCAGAGTGTTTTTTAAGGCTTGGTTGTATTTAAATGGTGTAGAACAATGTGTGCTTGTCCTTCATTTGTAATAAATGGATAGATAGATAGATAGATAGATAGATAGATAGATAGATAGATAGATAGATAGATAGATAGATAGATAGATAGATAGATAGATAGATAGATAGATAGATAGATAGATAGAGAGAAAGGTGGGTAGATAGATAGATAGATAGATAGATAGATAGATAGATAGATAGATAGATAGATAGATAGATAGATAGATAGATAGATAGATAGATAGATAGATAGATAGATAGGTAGATAGATAGATAGATAGATAGATAGATAGATAGATAGATAGATAGATAGATAGATAGATAGATAGATAGATAGATAGATAGATAGAAAGGTGGGTAGATAGAAAGATAGATAGATGGGTAGATAGAAAGATAGATAGGTAGATAGATAGATAGATAGATAGATAGATAGATAGATAGATAGATAGATAGATAGATAGATAGATAGATAGATAGATAGATAGATAGATAGATAGATAGATAGATAGATAGATAATCACGTTATTATTTGACATATCTTACCTTAATTTTATACTGCTACTCAGCTAATGTGAAAGCCACATCCAGCAGACTGTAGAGCTTGTAGAAAACACTGCCCTCTGCTGGAAGCTCATACTCTGCACTGGCCTGAAGATCCCCCCAAGACCTGACAAACACACATAGCATTGTTTTATTTTTTCATACATATCAGCATCACACTGAATCTGCCAACTGTAATTCAAATAATAATTACAGTAATAATAATAACAATAAAAATCAGAGGCACAAAAACTACCATAAATGTAATAATAAATACTATATTTTTAAATACAGATAATACCTCATTTAATAAAGTACTAATTATAATTACATTTCAAACTATTTACATTCTAAAAAAGATCTAATAATCTAATTAGATTAAAAAAAAATAAATATTTATATTAAATAAGTTCATCACATGTAAAGTTTAGCTTTAAAGAGCCCCTATTTTGCATTATAAGCGGTCATATTTTAGTATTGGTGTTCTCCATCAACAGGCTGATCTGCATGCAAGGTCAAAAAAACACTTTCATTGTCTTATAATGTGCGTTTATTTTTACCTAATTGTCCCAGGGACTCCAATGTGATTCGTTCAGCGATTCATTTCTTCAGAAACCTCTTAGCGCGATGCTAATCTGCGCTGATTGGTCCGATGACCCAGTCTGTTGTGATTGGTTCAGCTCAAGACAGTTCATTCAGCTCAAGACAGAGAGAAACACCCAGCGCAGCTGAGAAGTAGCAGAGTATGTGAAAGCCCAATGCAGGAGTGCAGTTAAACACCATACTCTACTCTGAACCCCAACCCCAAGTAATAACAACAACACACAGTCAGTGTTTTTTCACACAGTGGCAAAAGTTGAACTATTTTGAAAATTGACTGCGTGTGTGAGGAACAGCTGATGGTGGCCATAGCAAAGGCAAACAGCAGAGGATCGTGAGTTCAGAGAAGCATTTTAACCGTCAAAATAGAGCCCATATTTTGCAAACTACACAAAACAAGGCAACAATTTTAATTATGATTGGAGGAAGAAGAATCTGGTCCATATGAACTGTAACAGTTACTGACAAAGTCCCATACATAACAGTCTCCGCTGTTCCTTCCTTTAATAGCAAACGGCTGCCAAATCCCGCATTGCATGTATGTTGTTGTATCAAAAATCTGAAATATGACAGGAACAAATGGCACACGGTTGGGTATACTGTGGTGTTAACCCTTTATTCCCCGCAGCCGAATCTCCATCTGTCAGTGATCGTCATCTTCATATCATGATGATCAGTCCCGTGATCCCCCTTGCTCTGCTATAGTGTCTGAAGGGAAAAGTGCGTTCCCGTTTTACCAGAGCTGGTACTAATTTTTGGTGATGTACTCTATCGACATCGATGCATTCAGGCAAAATATCTGAACCCAGCACGATTCATTTATTCGACTCTGAGACATGTGCGATAGGCAGTGTTGCCAGATTAGATATGTCAAAGTATCATACCAGGACCTCAAAATTATTATATTTCAAGAGTTCACACTTGGCTGATGATTTATAAAAGCTTGTTTGGCATGCTGTCCCGGGAGAGAGCCCCGAGCTCAAGGACTCCTTGAGTCCGGGGCTTCCTCTCGTTTGGCAGAGCGAGAGGGGAGCCCGAGCTCGGTGGATCTCAGAACTCCCCTGCTGCTGCAGCTAAGGGAACACAAGGGTTAGATAAATGCTTGGTTTTTATGTATATTGAATGTCTTTGGATGGTGGGAGGAAACCGGAGCACCCGGGGAAAACCCACATGGACACGGGGAGAACATACAAACTCCTCACAGAAACACCCACCGGTCCTGGGGGGCCAGGGCTGGCGGTGTTCTTGCTGTGGGGCTCGCAGTGCTAACCACTGGGCCGCCGCGTCGCCCAGTCAGAGGTAAAAGAGGAGAATAGGGGAGGAGGGGGGTTTCTTCCAAACGAAGATAAAGTGAATTGAAAACTGTGGTTATTTATAGTAGCTTAGGTCTCAAATGATTGGAAGATACTGATTAGCAAATTCGAGACCAGCCGTGATAAATCATAAGCACGTGATCCTCTCGAAATTAGTTTATGAATAAACTTCACTTAGAGCAAAATTATCGGTCACGAGTCAAATGAAGAGTATTTAAATATTATCTAGACCAGTGTTCACCAAACTTGTTCCTAGAGGGCCGGTGTTCTGCAGATTTTAGCTCCAACCCTAATCAAATACACCTGTACAAGCTTATCAATGTCTTACTAGGTATAATTGAAACATCCAGGCAGGTGTGTTGAGGCAAGTTGGAGCTAAGCCCTGCAGGGACACCGGCCCTCCAGGACCAGGATTGGTGACCCCTGATCTAGACAAAGAGCATTTTGACACAATGTGCAAATAACCACAATACAAAAAAACAACAACAACAACAACAACAACAATTAGGCATTCCTTAGTGGGAAGGTTCAAACTCCACCTCAGAGTCATCGGTCATCGGATACTCGCATGTTGCCAGATGTCATTTTTAACAAACACTGAGGTGTGCTTTGTGTAATGAGCCGATTTTGTGGCTTTATTTTGATGAGATCAACTTTGGAAAAAACAAGTTCACAACATGACGCATTTATATGGGGAAAAATGAAAACATCAAGGGCAAACTCCCCTGTCCTTCTCATCTTCCTTTTCTTCAATACTTTTTATTTTTTAAAACTTCATTGCTTAAACGATTGATCTTAACCTGAAAATGACGGACCTAAGCACGGCCACGCACTGCAGGAATGTTAACCTGTGAGAGGTTTAATGTAAGATGATATATACAGTTGAAACCAGAAGTTTACAAACACTCTAAAAAAGGAACATAACCATTTTTTTAAATGTCTGATGGTAAATCATACTAAACGTTTACTATTTCAGGTCCAATAGAATTTACCTAAATGGTTTGCATTTGCTAAATGCCGGAATAATGAGAGTTTTTAATAATTTCTATACAGTCAAAAGTTTACAGACATTTCCTTGGTATTTTTTTAGCTTTGCTTTTAAACTGTTTAACTTCAGTCAAATGTTTTGGGTCTCCTTCCACAAGCTTCTCACAATAGTTTGCAGGAATTTTGGCCCATTCCTCCTGACAGAATTGGTGTAACTGAGACAGATTTGTAGGCTGTCTTGCTCGCACAAGCTTTTTCAACTCTGCCCACAAATTTTCTATAGGATTGAGCTCAGGGCTTTGTGATGGCCACTCCAAAACATTCACTCTGTTGTGCTTAAAGCACATTTGAACTAATTTGGCAGTATGCTTAGAGTCATGGTTTGTTTGGAAGACCCATTTGTGGCCAAGTTTTAATTTCCTGGCTGATGTCTTGAGATGTTGCTTCAGTATTTCTACATAATGTTCTTTCTTCATGATGCCATCTATGCTGTGAAGTGGACCAGTCCCTCCTGCTGCAAAACAGCCCCACAACATGATGCTGCCGCCCCCATACTTCACAGTTGGGATGGTGTTCCTAGGCTTGTAAGTTTTCCCCTTTGTCCTCCAAATGTAACACTGCTCATTATGGCCAAACAGTTCAATCTTAGCTCCATCAGAGCACAGGACATGCCTCCAGAAATGAGTCTTTTCCCAAGTGTCATTTAACAAATTGTAATCTGGCTTTCTTGTTGATTCTGGCTTGTTGATTTTCCCATGTCGTCACACAAGGAAGCAGTGTGTGTTTGAGGTTTTCCTTCAATACTATTCTACAGTTGTGCCTCCAGTTAACTCAAATGTTGTCAATTAGTCAATCAGAAACTCCCAAAACCTTGACATCATCATCTGAGCGCTTTCAGAGGCAGAATAATCTTATTGTGTGTAAACTTGACTTTCAAGAAAAGTTATAACAATTTCTCCAAACAATATATCTCTCAATATTCTGCTATTAAGCAGAACAGAAACAAACTTGATAATCCTCACTTACCTAAAAGAGAAAAAGTTTAGTCACATTAACATCTGACTTTTTAAATGGTTATGTGCCTTTTTAAACAGTGAATGTAAACTTCTGGTTTCAACTGTAAATGTATACATACATGTATATATAATATATAGATGTAAATAAACTCAGAATTGCAAGGCAGCCTATAAACCTGCAAATAAATTAATTTAAAAAAATTATGGGACATAAACATAAAAGAAAAAGATTATTATTATTATTATTATATGTATTGTTATATGTATTATTATATGTATTATAATAATAATTATTATTATTATATGTATTATTATATGTATTATAATTATTATTATTATACAGTGGCAGCAACAAACTCCCCCACAAAGAAAAAAAAATATGAAAAAGAGGGTCAGACAGAACTTAACTGTGCATGTTTTTATTTCAACATTAGGCTTAAAGTACAAATTTCTGCTCAGAAAAACTACAATCATGTAATTTCATTCTGCAATAACTTCAAAAAGCACCAATATCAGCTCCCTTACTGCTGATTCACGTTCTTCTACTGAGACTTTCTTTTTAAAGGGGTGTGAAACCAAACGTGGCACATTTAGATTTGACGTAGTTCAATGATTCTTAATGGAGAACACATGTTTGTTTCCAGTCTAAGCGAGTGCGTGTTTACGGTCTCTAAAGCTGCAGCAGGGTAGAGAGTATATGGAGATCTCCATCTGGACCTCAGAGCTCCAGTTCTCCTCCAATCCTCAGTCGTCTCCATTGCACAGGCTCAGCAGGGCCCGCTGGTAATCTCCCTTTGTGTGCTCCTGAATAAAATCAAACACACAACAGCACATACTGTATGAAGGCTAATCACACTGTTATTAGCATCATTCTACACCTAGCTTTTGACATTTCACTGTTGACAACATGCTGTAAAAGCTCTAAAACATATTCAAGTGTTCGAAATATTCTAAAGCATGATAGCAGCAAGCTTAAACATGCTAACAATTTACTCCAATATGCTAGTAACATTATAATAATGTGCTAGACATGCTAAAATGTTAAATCATGCTAGCAATTGCTAAATATTAGCAATATGTTAAACATCTTGGTTGCTAAAATGTGCTAGCAGTGTGCAATAATATGTTATAGTTGCTTAAAACATAATAGCAACAAGCCTCAACATGAAATAAACATGCTAACAATTTTGGCTGGGCTCCCAGCCTGGCTAGGCTGGTCAAGCTGGTTTTATCTGGTCATCTCCCAACCTGACCAGCTAAGACCAGGCTGGAAATGGCTGGAAACCAGCCTGGAAATGGCCAAAGCCCCTCTAAAACCAGCCTGGTCAACCAGCTAAAACCAGCCAACCAGCTTAGGCTGGTTTAAGCTGGATTTTTCAGCAGGGAAAAGGTAAAACATGCTTTAAACCTAATAGCAATGTAGCTAAAACATGCTAATACAGTTTAAAAATGGAAGCAACCTGCTGTAACATGTTGAACATTCCAACAATGTACTCAAATTTGCCAGTAGCATTATAAAAAGGTAAATTTTAAAATGCTAAAGTGTTGAATCATGCTAACAATGTGCAATAATATGGCAAGTATATGCTAGTATTTATAAGTTTAGTAAGTTTTATAGCAGATACTTTGATAAACAATCTTTTGAATCAAAATGCTAATACATTTTATAAACTCATAAGTGATGTAGTAATTCATGCTAAAACATAATAGCAATAAGCTGGACCATGCTTTAAACTTGTTAGCAACATAGACAAAACAATACATGCTAACAAAGTTTAAGCATAGTAGCAATGTGGTAAATCATGTGCTAAACTTGCTAGCAACCTAATAAAGCATACCAAGTTTTAAAGCATGGTAGCATAATGCGACATGCTAAAACACACAGGCATTGTGCTAAATTATGCTAGTGAGAAGCTAACAATGTTCTAAAACATGCAGGAAACATGATAGCACATCACTTTATCGATCCACCAGAATGCTATAGCTAATGCCTGTCAATGGCCTTGGAGCCACATAGCCTACTATAGTGTGAAATAAATCTGTGAAAAATATGTGTTATGTGCAAATGCAGTGGTCAAACATCATGAATTGTTTACAAAAACAATGAAGCTCCTTAAATTTATTGGTAGAGGTTTCCACTGGATCAGTTTTTCACCTTAGCATATAATTATTATAAAGCAATAATTTAAGGGGACGTACAGCAATGGTCTGGTGCAGAGACTTCCCAAAGTGCTGTTTGAACTCTTGTCTGATCTTCTTGAGGTCCACCTCACACCGGGACACCATGATCCGGGTCAGCACCTTCTCCTTCGCTCCTTTGCTCTGAAAGACACAAACCGCTAACATTAAAAGAGCAGCAAGATGCCTGATGTAATTCAACTGCAAGACATCTGAAACATCAGCAGATATATTACAGATGAGCCGCTTAATACTTTCTTCCAATCACAGGAACGCATATAAAGGTGTTAGCGGAAGAACTTATTCTACCTTCATGGCGTCTTGCAGTCTGCTGGCGAAATACAGCTGTTTGTTTTCAAAGCACTGAACTGAGGAAGAGAAAATGTGGAGACTAGAATCAGCTGCTGGGAAAATAGTGCCTTTCTTACTCATAAAAAAAGACTGGATTTGATTCTAAATTAACCTTAAAGCTGTTTTTAAAGACTGTACTGGTTTATTGTCAAAGTCTTTGACTAGTGTGGTCACGTAATGTACTCTCCCAAAAAGAAATAAGTACTTTTATTTTGAAAGTGACTGTAAACACAACTGCAATGAACATTATATATAAAATTAATATATTAATATACATTTCAAACTATTTTTATTAATGATGTTTTAATAAATGATGTTTACAAACTACAAAGAACTGCGCGAAACATGCTAGCTAAGTTAAAACATGTTAGCAACATGCTTCAAACATGCTAACAATGCATTTAATCAATCCGGCAATGTGCTAGCACCAATTAGCAACAACAATTATGTTGCAATTAGCAATTAACAAAAATGTTTCTAAACATAAGTAAATTATAAAATGTGCAAACTCCAGGTTATCAATGTTCTAAAACATGTCAACAACGTGCTCAATCAAAACAGCAATGTTAAAACCTATACTTTTAGCAGTATATACTAAAACATGTTAGCAACTTGTGTTTAGCAGGCAAAAAAATGCTAACGCCAGGTCATCAATGCTCTAAACATGCTCTGAATGTGTTTAAAGATGCTAACGTTACCTACATACTAGCAACTTGGTAAAACTAAAACATACAAACAACAGGTATCGGTGCTCTAAACATGCTGTTCAAACATGCTGGCAACAAAACATGTTATTAATGTGTTTGATGGTATTAACCTGCTAAAGTGCACTAAAAACATGTCAACTAGATTTATTCAACCAACATGCTAAAACATGTTTGTGACATGATAAAACATGCAAACAACATGCTTGTATATGGTAGCAATAAATCAAATCATGCTAGCAATGTGTTGAAAAGTATCCGATAAAGATATTACCGATGTGAAAATATACGCTAACCAATTAGCAATGCTTTCAAACATGTAGCAACATATTAACAAAAATGTGATTTAAAAATGTTTCTAAACATATAACAGGTTATCAATGTTCTTAAACATGTTAACTACGTGTTCAATCAGAACAGCAATGTTAAAGCTTAAACGTTTAGCAGTATATACTAAAACATGTTAGCAACTTGTGTTTAACAGGCAAAAGTGTGCTAAAGCACACTGAAAAATGCTAACCCCAGGTCATCAATGCTCTAAACATGCTGTGATTGTGTTTAAAGATGCTGTTATCCACATACTAGCAACTTGGCAAAAACTAAAACATGCTAACAACAGGTATCATTGCTCTAAATATGCTGTTTAAACATGCTTGCAGCAAACCGTTATTCATGTGTTTGATGGTATTAACCTGCTAAACATACTGTAACATGCGCTTAAACATGTTGACAACATTGATTCAACTATCATGCTAAAACATGTTAGCGACATGATAAAACATGCTAACAACATACGTGTATATGGTTACCTTTTAGCAGTGTATACTAAAACATGTTAGCAATTTGTGTTTAACAGGCAAAAAGTGTGCTAAAACACATTAACGCCAGGTCATCAATGCTCTAAACTTGCTGTCAGCATGTTTAAAGATTCTAACATGTTATACTAGCAACTTTCTAAAATATGCTAACAACAGGTTATTAATGCTCTAAACATGTTTTCAAACATGCTGGCAACAAAACATGCTAATAATGTGGTGAGGGTACTAACCTGTTAAAGTGCACTAAAACATGTCAACTACATTTATTCAACCAACATGCAAAAACATGTTAGCAATATGATAAAACATGCTAACATGATAATAAATTAAATCATACTAGCAATGTGTTGAAAAAAAACATGCAAATATTACCAATGTGAAAATATATGCTAGCAATGTGCTCATTCATCACAAAAATATGCTATTAAGTTGTGACGTGCCTAAATAAGTAACATGTTAGCACTGTAAAGCATACTATCAATGCATGAAAACATGCTAGCAATGTATTTACTCAGTCCAGCATTGTGCTAACACCAATGTTTTAAAACTTATAGCAACATATTATTAACAAAAATGTCATTTAAAAATGTTTCTAAACATACACCAGGTTATCAATGTTCTAAAACATGTTAACAATGTGTTCAATCAGAACAGCAATGTTAAAACTTATACCTTTTAGCAGTTTATACTAAAACATGTTAGCAACGTGAGTTTAACAGGCAAAAAGTGTGCTAAAACACACACAAAAAAATGTTAACGCCAGGTCATCAATGCTCTAAACATGCTGTCAGAGTGTTTAAAGATGCTAACATGTAACCTACATACTAGCAACTTAGCAAAACATTCCAAAATATGCTAACAACAGGTTATCAATGCTCTAAACATTTTTCAAACATGCCGGCAACAAAACATGTCATTAATGTACTTGATGGTATTAACCTGCTAAACAATCTTTAACATGCGCTAAAACATATTAACAACATTGATTTAACCAACATGCTAAAACATGTTAGCGACATGATAAAACATGCCAGCAACAAGCTTGTATATGGTAGCAATAAATTAAATCATGCTAGCAATGTGTTAAAAAAACATGCAGATATTACCAATGTGAAAATATATGCTAGCAATGTGCTAAAACATCACCAAAATAGCAAAAATATGCTAGTGAGTTGTGACGTGCCTAAATAAGTAACATGTTAGCCCTCTAAAGCATACTAGCAATGCATGAAAACATGCTAGCAACATGCTAAAACATGTTAATGATGTTCTAAAACAATGTGTAGGTCTAAAGACTAACACATATGCCTTGGTATAGCTAATGTTAACTTTCAGTTTTAACAGAAGATGATATCAGAAGTCAGTTGTATGGGGTGTTTGTAGATGAAGGCTCTCACCGAGGGTCAGGAAGGACTTCTCTAGATCTCCTTTGACCTCTTTGCGAATGCTCTCCTGCATGTCATACGGGCTGTAGCTCTTGTATCTGTCAAACACTGGGAAGGAAAACACAAAATCCACATTAACTGTACACCAGCCTCTGTTTTATTAGATGGACGGAGGTGAAAGGAGGACCTCGAACCTTTCTGGAGGTGAGGAACGCTTCTCTCTGACATGATGGAGATCCAGCACTTCACATCTGTGCCTTTTCGCTTGACTCCAGCGTCATACAGGGCCTTTACAGGAAATTTAAAATATATAAGATAGTTTAATATAATATAATATAATATAATATAATATAATATAATATAATATAATATAATTAATATAAAAATACTTAAAACATAGAAATGTTGAATTATATTTGTATATTTATACAGAGGTTGGACAGTGAAATGCAATGAAACTGAAACACCAGGTTTTAGACCACAGTAATTCATTAGTATAGTGTAGGCTGTAGGGTGTCCTTTTTTGGCCAATCAGCATCAATACAGTCTTGGTAATTATAAATAAAAGTCCTGCAGAGTGGCCAGAGGGTTTTTGAGCTATTCGCCTTGCAGAATAGTGGCCAGTTCATTAAGGGAGGCTGGAAGTGGAAAACGTTTCCTGACTCGCTCTTCTAAAACATCCCAAAGTGGCTCAATAATATGTAGATCTGATGACTGTGTAGGCCATGGGAGATGTTCAACTTCACTTTCAAGTTCATCAAACCACTCTGTCACCAGTCTTACTGTGTGCATTATTATCCTGATACAGGACACTACCTTCAGGATACATGGTTTGAACCATTGGGTGCACATGCCATGGTCCTCCAGAATGAGTCCTTGGCAGTAATGCATCCATCTAGAACAAGGATTGGGCCGAGGGAATGCCATGATATTATAGCCCAAACATCACTAGTCCACCCCCATGCTTCACTCTGGGCATGCAACAGTCAGATGGGTACGCTTCTTTAGGGATTCCCCACACTGTAATTCTCCCAGATGTGGGAAAGACAGGTGCAGGTGGACTCATCAGAGAACATACTTGTTTCACACTGTCCACAACCCAAGGTTTTTACTGTTGGCACTCTTAAATGCAACGTTTGGCATTGGCACAAGTGACCAAAGGTTTGGCTGTAGCAGCCCGGCCATGTATATTCACCCTCTGGTGCTCCCAATGAACAGTTATGGTGGAAACAGGACAGTTTCTTTGTCAGTCTCTCTCAGACAGGTCAGCATCAGCTAAGATTACCGTCATGGTAATCGAGTCCAGCTCCAACCCAAGAAAGAGATGCTCTGCACGTGGGCGAGCTTGCTCATTTCTAAGTTGACCTGAAGCCCCAATAGGTCTAGGTTCCAAAGCAAGGTGCCGTTTGTAAACAATCCAGTTTGGCACCAAGACATCTCTTTCAGACAGCTTCCTCTTGCGTCCACAGTTGGTGAGATTGCGCCAGTGAGATGCGCGCCAACAATTTGTCCTCTTTTGAACTCTGATATGTCACCCATAATGTTGTTGATATTTTAAGCATAACTGTGCTATTATTCTGCTAATTAAACCTTCACTCTCTTACTGGTTAAATGTGCAGGTAATGAGTATTGGCCACCAGACCTAAAGAGAATTAAATCTCAAGGACTTACTCTGGCATCTTCATCAATTCTCTGGTAGTCAATAACGGAGCTAGACTGCTCTCTTTTGGCCTGAGAAGTTACAAATGATAAGCAAAAAATGATTAGCATCTTAGTTCACTTCTTAATGGTTATACTAGTTAAAGTGTGCAAAAATGCTAACTGACCTCAACAAGAGCAAGCAGGAGTTTGGCAAAGTCCCCTGAAGTATCTCCAGCCACATCCTTCTCCAATTCCTTCTTGAACACTGTGATGAAACACACGGTTATATCTCAGGTACAAACCCCTTAATAAGTGCATTTAAACACTGCCATACTCACATTCCCTGTAGACTTTCTTGATCTCCATGATCTCAGCATTGCTTCGAGAGCAGAGGATCTCAATCAGAGACTCTTCGTCTGTTCCAAGACCCTGAAAACACACAGATAATGTGCGTTTGAGAAACTTGATGATCATCTTGATAACAAACCATGGATGAATACTAGAGGAATAACTACTAGTATTTATCAAAGGAGTACAAGTATTTGATGAATAAGTACCAGTATTTGATGCATGAGGACTAGAATGTTATGATTAAGTACTAGTAAGCACCAGTTCTATTGCATGAGTTCTAGTGAGTATATCTGTTGAGTAAGAACTAGGATCTGATGAAGAAATACCAGTTCCTAATAAATGAGTACTTGAATCTGATGACTTAGTACTAGTGAATAGCAGTATCTGTTGAGTAAGTACCAGTGTCTAATGAATGAGTACTAGTGAGTACCAGTTTCTAAAATGAGTACTAGTAAGTACCAGTACCTAATGATAGAGTACTACGAAGTGCTAATACCTAATGGTAGAGTACTGGAAAGTGCATGCATCTTGTGAATAAGTTGTAGCAAGTACCAGTATCCAGTAGAGTGCTAGAATCCGATAAATGAATACTAGTGAGTAGCACTGTCTGTTGAGAAGGTAATAGTATCTAATAACTTAGTACTAGAATCTGACGATTGAGAACTAGTAAGTGCCAGTGGCTTTTGTTCGAGTACTAGTAAGTATCAATATCTGTTTAGTAGTATTTGATGAATTGGTTCAGTTCCTAATGAATGAGTACTAGTAAGTACCAGTATCTAATGAATGAGTACTTGAATCTGATGACTTAGGACTAGTGAATAGCAGTATCTGTTGAGTAAGTACCAGTGTCTAATGAATGAGTACTAGCGAGTACCAGTACCTAATAATCGAGTACTAGGAAGTACCAATATCTGTTGAGTAAGAACAAGGAACTGATGAATAAATAGCAGTACTAGTAAGTACCAGTACCTAATGATAGAGTTCTACAAAGTGCTAATACCTAATGGTAGAGTACTGGAAAGTGCATGCATCTTGTGAATAAGTTGTAGCAAGTACCAGTATCCAGTAGAGTGCTAGAATCTGATAAATGAATACTAGTGAGTAGCACTGTCTGTTGAGAAGGTAATAGTATCTAACAACTTAGTACTAGAATCTGATGATTGAGAACTAGTAAGTGCCAGTGGCTTTTGTTCGAGTACTAGTAAGTATCAATATCTGTTTAGTAGTATTTGATGAATTGGTTCAGTTCCTAATGAATGAGTACTAGTTAGTACCAGTACCAAATGATCAAGTACTAGTAAGTACCAGTATCTAATGAATGAGTACTTGAATCTGATGACTTGGGACTAGTGAATAGCAGTATCTGTTGAGTAAGTACCAGTGTCTAATGAATGAGTACTAGCGAGTACCAGTACCTAATAATCGAGTACTAGGAAGTACCAATATCTGTTGAGTAAGAACAAGGAACTGATGAATAAATAGCAGTTCCTAATAAATAAGTACTAGTAAGTACCAGTACCTAATGATAGAGTTCTACAAAGTGCTAATACCTAATGGTAGAGTACTAGAAAGTGCCAGTATCTAGAGAATAAATTGTAGTAAGTACCAGTATCCAGTGAATGAGTGCTAGAATCTGATGAATGAGTACTAGTTAGTACCACTATCTGAAAAGTAACAGCTGCTAATGAACTAATACCAGTACATGATATAGTAGCAGTATCTAACAAACAACAACAACAAAAAAAAAAAAAAACCGTGTTGAAGGTTTAGTTCACCTTGATGGAGGCTTTGATTTCTGAGGCGTCGTACTGCGCAGTGCTCTTCATGAGGCCCAGGATGACTGTTTCCAGTGAGCCAGACAGCGCCCCCTTCAGGGCTGAGATCATATCCTAAACAGGCAAAATGAAGGAGAACAGTTTCAAAAAACAGAACTTGGCATTTACAAACACAAATGCTTTGAATTCTGGCAAGCTGTTTCAACATTTAATCTCTCAAAATGCGTACTAGTATTTGATAAATTAGTTCCAGTATCTAATGAATGAGTTCTAGTATTTGATAAATTAGTTCCAGTGTCTAATGAATGAGTTCTAGTATTTGATAAATTAGTTCCAGTATCCAATGAATGAGTTCTAGTATTTGATAAATTAGTTCCAGTATCTAATGAATGAGTTCTAGTATTTGATAAATTAGTTCCAGTATCTAATGAATGAGTTCTAGTATTTGATAAATTAGTTCCAGTATCTAATGAATAAATTCTAGTATTTGATAAATTAGTTCCAGTATCCAATGAATGAGTTCTAGTATTTGATAAATTAGTTCCAGTTTCTAATGAATGAGTTCTAGTATTTGATAAATTAGTTCCAGTATCTAATGAATGAGTTCTAGTATTTGATAAATTAGTTCCAGTATCTAATGAATAAATTCTAGTATTTGATAAATTAGTTCCAGTATCTAATGAATAAATTCTAGTATTTGATAAATTAGTTCCAGTATCTAATGAATAAATTCTAGTATTTGATAAATTAGTTCCAGTATCTAATGAAAGAGTTCTAGTATTTGATAAATTAGTTCCAGTATCTAATGAATAAATTCTAGTATTTGATAAATTAGTTCCAGTATCTAAGGAATAAATTCTAGTATTTGATAAATTAGTTCCAGTATCTAATGAATGAGTTCTAGTATTTGATAAATTAGTTCCAGTATCTAATGAATGAGTTCTAGTATTTGATAAATTAGTTCTAGTATCTAATGAATGAGTTCTAGTATTTGATAAATTAGTTCCAGTATCTAATGAATGAGTTCTAGTATTTGATAAATTAGTTCCAGTATCTAATGAATGAGTTCTAGTATTTGATAAATTAGTTCCAGTATCTAAGGAATAAATTCTAGTATTTGATAAATTAGTTCCAGTATCTAATGAATGAGTTCTAGTATTTGATAAATTAGTTCCAGTATCTAATGAATGAGTTCTAGTATTTGATAAATTAGTTCCAGTATCTAATGAATGAGTTCTAGTATTTGATAAATTAGTTCCAGTATCTAATGAATGAGTTCTAGTATTTGATAAATTAGTTCCAGTATCTAATGAATGAGTACTAAATGTTGATGAATTAGTTCCAGTATCTACTGAATGAGTATTAGATGTTGTTGAAATAGTTCCAGTATCTCATGAATAAATACTCGTATTTGATAATTAGTTCCAGTATCTAATGAGTAACTAGTATTTGATGAGTGCAGTTGTTAACAGACTGACCTTCTTGGCTCTTCTCTCATATGCAAAAGCAATCTCCCGCCGCTGGTTGTATGTCCGTTTGGTGAGGATGTCAATTATGGTTTGCTCATCCACCCCTAAAACAAACAGCCATGTTTATTTATCAAAACTGTAATATAATAGCACTCATAAAACTTTTAATATTTTAAGTCTATTGATGTTCAGACCAATAAATCAATAAATGACTATTAAATAGTCATTTATTAATGACTAACAAAGTCATTAAATGTAATAATCGAATGTATTGTTCTATAAATTTCTGCATCTGTTTCCTCCCTCAGGACATTATTTGGAGTTTCTTTAGCAGAATGAAGGGCAGGACTGTGGTTCCTGCAATCAGGCGTTGGTCTGGAAATGTTCCTCATGCGGTTGGTTCTCTTCCAGACAGGACGAGTGACTCACTTCTGCCACTGTGGCCTGTTTATACTTCATCAAGGCTTCAGCCCACAAAGCCCACTACAACTCTGTACCGTGTACCGTTTGTGTAATGTCTCATCATCATCATGGTGCGTCTCTGTCTCTCACCTTTAGTTTTGATAGCGGTCTCAATCCTGGCAGCATCTTTGTCTGGATCAAAGTTGGCCTCTGGAACAACAGTAGGGTAGGTGGGCTCTCCCTACAGCCAAACAATGAGGAAAAATACAGTAAATTCACGAAGCACACATTTGTTTTATATATATTTAATTTTATATAGCTAGATATTTTGAACACACATTCACATTATTATGAATACATTTAATTAGTTTTGATTATGCATATAATGTAGTTGCAATAGGAATTTTGTTTAGATTATATTTTTAAATATTTAATAAATTATAATTGAATAGTTTTATTTAATATATATATATATATATATATATATATATATATATATATATATATATATATATATATATATATATATATATATATATATATATATAGTTGAGGTTGGAATTATTACCACCCCTGAATTATTCACCACCCTGTTTAGATGTTTTCAACACATTTCTAAACATAATAGTTTTAATAACTCATTTCTAATAAATGATTTATTTTATCTTTTCCATGAGGACAGTAAATAATATTTTTCTAGATATTTTTCAATTAAAGGCTTAACTAGGTTAATTAGATTAGCTTAGATTAACTAAGCATTGGGGGAATTAGGCAAGTTATTGTATAACTTGTTTGTTCTGTAGACTATTGGAAAAAAATATAGCTTAAAGGGGCTAATAATTTTGTCCTTAAAATGGCTTTTAAAAAAAATTAAAAACTGCTTTTATTCTAGCCGAAATAAAACAAAAAAGGCTTTCTCCAGAAGAAAAAATATTATAAGACATACTGTGAAAATTTCCTTGCTCAGTTAAACATAATTTGGGAAATATTTAAAAAAAGATATATATTAGATATATATATATATTATATATAATAAAAATTATATATAATAAAAATTATATATATATATATATATATATATATATATATATATATATATATATATATATATATATATATATAATTAAAAATAGACTTTTAGTAGAATAAAAGAATATTTAATTTAAATTTATTTATTATTTTAATTATTTCAATACACAAATTGTATTGATTTAATATTTTATTTACATATCTACCTCTATAATCTATATTTTAATTATAGTATTATTCTAAAATTATAAATATATATTTAAAAAAATTACTTAAAATTTGAATATTAAAAATATATATAAAACATTCATTCTTTCTTAATTCATAAAATCCCGATAATTATTTTAACACTGTAAAACCCATCAGCCAACTTTATCACATGAAATAAGTGTAGTTAACTCAAAATTGACTGAAAGCTAATTCTACTCAATTGTAAAGAGTTTTAAACTCTGTGTTGAAGGTAATGAGTTCATTAAATTCCTCATTAATTCAACTTAAATGGAGTAAGTTCACAGTACTAATATAGATTAGTTTTTTTTTACTCAAATGGTTTGTAGCATTCGGTTTCCTCAAACCGTTTGAGTTACCTTAACGTATTGGGTTTTACAGTACTCACTTGATTTGAATTCTCTTCATTTATTGGGCTTTACTGTGCTCAAATTGCTTCATTTACTCAAACGGTTTGAGTTACCTTAACCTTTTGGGTTTTACAGTGAATTAGTGTTCTATAAAGGATTAATATACAGTAACAGTTTAATTTCTTTTGTGAGAATATTAAATATTAAACTTAATAAGTTTTACAGTACTCCGTTGATTTAAGTTCTCTTCATTTATTGGGTTTTAACATGCTCAAATTGCTTCATTTACTCAAATTGATTATGTTGACAGTACTCATTAGGATTACTTTTTGAACTCAAATGGTTTAAGTTGCCTTAACTTTTTGGGTTTTACAGTGAATGAGTGTCCTATATAGGGTTAATATACAGTAACAATTAAATTTCTTTTGTGAGAATAATAAAATATTGTTGTTGTAAACCTTTAATTTAATCCTCAATATTGATACGAGCACTTACTCCGCCCAGTTCGAGGGTGAGCTGCCCTAAGAATTCAGAGACCAAAGCCATCCTGGACTTCCTGTGGAGCAAACACAAACCCATTAATTTCCATCAGAGTTTGCTTGATATCCCTCATATCTGTCATGCTGGAAATCAAATCCCCGACTCATTTACATTGGGTTTCTGGAACTTCAATAGTTATGGTGAATGCAACTCAGTCTTATAAGGCTCCGTCACATGATCTGCAGAGTTACGTAATGCAGAACTAAAAGCTTCTCAAACTCTTAGTCACCTCATCCAGGCTAACACAGTCAGAGAAGTGATATAAAACACTTTAAATGAAGACACATATAGATTCTTTTCATATTATTATTAATGTTATAACATTAAATTGCTTAAATCACATGCTTTTTTAGTCATATAAAAGTCTTTTTTCTCATTAAAATGCCAAAATACTATAAAACTTCATTTTTTAAATCTTTGTTCATATAAAATATTATTTTTTTCCTCATTAAAATGCCAAAATACTATAAAACTTCATTTTTTAAATCTTTGTTCATATAAAATATTATTTTTTTCCTCATTAAAATGCCAAAATACTATAAAACTTCTTTTTTTAAATCTTTTTTTTCTTATAAAATAATCATTTTTTTCCTCATTAAAATGCCACAATACTATAAAACTTCATTTTTTAAATCTTTGTTCATATAAAATATAATTTTTTTCCTCATTAAAATGCCAAAATACTATAAAACTTCATTTTTAAAATTTGTCTAAAAGTTTTGCCAACTTTCAGGAGCAACCGAAAATTGAAGAAGCCCCTGCCAAAAAGAAACAAAAAAAGCCAAGTGGAGCTTTTTATAAAGAATAGCTCATGATTCACTGCAGTTGCTATGCAGTTAAACACAAACAGCAGCAGTAAACAGCAATTTTACAAAACCAGCATCTGGTGAAAAGCTAAGCAAACAGGCACACCCTTAAGGGAGAACGCTGGGAAAAATCTCTAAAGCATGTGAGACTCATTTATCCTCCTCTTACACCCTCAGGCTCGGGTTTTCTATTAGTTTAAGAAGTTTGAAAAGAATCCTCTGCTCCTTTTTTAAAAGACAAGTAGTCTTAGTGTCACTCCTAAGAGTTTAGCTTAATAAAAATAAACAGTTTTTGTAATATTTTTGCCTTATTAAACTTTTAGTATTAGTAGAAGTACTATAGAAATCATTCAGGAGATGAACAAATGAATATAAAGGTTTTCAAATACCTTGCTGATGAGCAGATCTCAGATGCTGTGCAGAACAATCTCAGCTATGGAGAGCGAGATGGGTGTGGTGTTTAAATGCCAGAAGGCGGGGCTGTTTAAGGTAAGCCCCGTCTCCCGATGACACACCCACTCCCTCCCTCTTCATCTCTAAAGAAAGTTCAGGGGATGAAAGCAGCTTTAGGAGAGCGTGGTTTTATGGTTACGATCTGGATGGAAATGAAGGATGTTCCTGTAGACCAGCCGTGAACACTGCTGTTACATAAACGATCAGAGGCTTGGGACAAGATGCATGATTATGAGTTATTAGAAAAAGACTGCATCATAATGAGTGTGCATTAATTCAAAGACATAACGATTATTTCTTCTTAAGGCTTTTTTGAAACATGCAGTTTGACAGCTTGTGTGTCGCAATACTTGGCAGCGTCTTTGAGTATGTCAAAAATGAACCGTCCATGACACATTCCTTCTCCTTGGTTGCACAAGAGCTTTTACAACATAAACACACACACACACTCACTTCAGAAATCTGTTTGAGAAAGTAAATCAGCAGTTTAGACGACTTTAAAAACAGTTATTTTCCACATACTGTGCGCTACTGGTGAACATCCTAGTGCGACACTCGGCTGCATCCGAATTTGCATACTTCCATACTATATAGTTTGCGAGTCGAGTAGTACACTACCTGAGAAAAGTCTTCTCGTCGATCCCAGTTGTAAGAGATAACTTCAAATAAATAATAACTTGACTACTATTTGCAGAAGACCTACTGGAACCCGCATGGACCCAAGATTCTCATAGCAATCAGTCAAGTTTGGTGAAGGAGAAATCATGGTTTAGGGTTACATTCAGTATGGGGGCATGCAAGAGATCTGCAACATCTACAGCCTGAGGTATCAAGGCAGGCTGCCTATTACTTTACAAACCACAGGAGAGGGCAAATTCTCCAGCAATAGAGCACTTCTCATACTTCAGCCTCCACATCAAAGCTCCTGAAAGCAAAGAAGGTCAAGGTGCTTCAGGATTGGCCAGCCCAGTCACTAGACATGAACATTATTGAGCATGACTGAGGAAAAGTGGAGGAGGCATTGAAGATGAATCCAAAGGATCTGGATGAACTCTGGGAGTCCTGCAAGAGCTTTCTTTGCCATTCCAGATGACTTTATTAATCAGTGATTTGAGTCAGAGATGTATGGATGCAGTCCTCCAAGCTCATGATGGAGTCAGACACAATATTCATTCTGTCTCCACTGCAGCAGGACTTTATATTCTATACTGGACATTATTTCTGTTCCGTCGCAAGACTTCTGTCTAAGCATAGTCAGACCTTACTGTCCTAACTAAATCATTACAAATCAAGGCATGATCATTGATATTAAGCCACTTCTGACACCAAATGAACAACTAGAAGTCAACTTACCCAGGTAGCAAAGAATTCTGGCCAAGATTTGGCATAAATCTGACACAGCAGGCATTCATCTGGTGCATGCAGCATGTGGGCCAAACATGGCCCTGGTTTGGCAGAGGTAGCACCATCTTTAGCTGCAGAGCCACTTAGGCTTCAATGAGGAGGAGCTTGAGCTCCAACTCCTCCTCCCATAACTGTTTTAATGCATACACCAACCCCCCCTCTAACCCCAACCCAAAGTGACATCACTTGTAGAAGAAGTGCAAGGAAGGAGGAGCTGGAGCTCAAGCTCCCCCCTGCTAAAGGGGGCTAATAATTTTGACCTTAAAATGTTTAAATAAAATTCAAATCTGCTTTTATTCCAACTGAAATAAAACAAATAAGACTTTCTCCAGAAGAAAAAAGATTATAGGAAATACTGTGAAAAATTCCTTGCTGTGTTAAACATTATTTGAGAAATATATGAAAAAAAGAAAATAAATAAATAAAACTACAGGAGGGCGAACTAAAGATGACTTCAACTGTATTGTGCGCGTATGATTATGCACAATGTTCATTGTGGCTTTCAATTCAATACTTAAACAAAACCTTTGTGATTTTCATCCAGCTAAGGTGCACAATGGGCATGCTGTGATCTGTAATGTTTATTTTAAGTAACAGATTCAATTCAAATCAAAGGGATTGGGAGGGAATGGGAGTCATTCTGGAATAAAAACAGGAAAGGATTTCCCCCTATTTTTTCCTGGATTTGGGATGGGGCAGGATTTTCTTTTTGTGAGAGTGGAACGGGAGAAGTTTAAAAAGTGTCACCCTTGCAATTGCAAAAAATCTGATAAAGCCTTTTCCGTATCTTTGGTTTCAGGCTTAAAATGACAACGTAAATGCCACATGAACCAATTGACCCTTCGATAAGCCCCGCCCTCCTTAGCACGTCTGCCTGGCACGTCTATTACAATGTGTGCGCGCCAGTGTCAGACATTACCAGGGATATAAATAGTCATTTTTGGCGAACAAGTGAGATATCCGAGAAAGCCAGACAAAAAGGACTGCAGTCTGCATTACAGGGGTATATTCACCACATAATAGGCAGCCGATTAGAGAATAAATAAATCAAAATTAAAGCTAGCTTAGCCTAGCCGCCTCATATGCTAACCATACAACAGCTTAGCTCATGCTCAGCAGGAGAGGTGACGGTAACACTTTATAATAACTATACACTATAAATCATTTATTAAGCATTAGCAAATAGTGAACTCATTATCTGTTAAGCATTAACTCTACATTAATAAATGTTAGTAAGCAGTTTATAACTGCAGCTATAAATGCTCTATTCTTGACTTATAAGCACCTGTATAATGTGGTTAATAATTGTATTTTCATACTTAGGTAATTATTTATTATTCATTACTGAATTAAGTATCGCATTATTTACAAACCAGTTGTATTTAAGAGTAGTTTAACTGTAGTTGTTTTCAGGATCATTCAGAATAAGTTAGTAAATGATTAATAAACTATTGAAATCAACATTTATAAATCTTATTATTCAGGCATATACTAATGGTTAACTGATATGTTAATAAATGCTTTAATAACTCAACTTCATGCAGTTTTGTGACCTAATCTAAAGTGAGGACTATTTATGCTTTATAAATTCTTTATAAATGACAAATAAAGGCTCAGAATCAAGTGAACGATAATCTGTGCAATCTTTTCTAAAAAGTAAAATTACTGTAAAGTTTAAACATTGCTGAATAACAGGAGTGTCAAAATACGACATAAAACTGGATAAAACAACAACAATATAATAATTTAACAATATAATAAGATGCAATGCTTAAACTCTACAGTGATTTAATTTTAGATCAGGTTGCAAAGATTTATTTTTCATTTGAAGTGCAGTTTCATTTGTGTATCTTTAAATGAATAGGAATGAATAATGTAATTTTTCCTGTTTAGAATTTAACCGAGCCTTTATTTGTCATTTATAAGGGATTTATAAAGCATGAATAGTCCTCACTTTAGATTAGGTCACAAAACTGCATGAAGTTGAGTTAATAAAGCATTTATTAATATACATAGTAACCATTAATATATGCCTGAATAAAAAAATATTTAAACGTTGATTTCAATAGTTTATTAATCATTTACAAACTCCTTCTGAATGATTCTAAAAACCCTCAACTACTCTTAAATACAAACAGTTTGTAAATAATGTGATACTTAATTTAGTAATGAAAAATAAATCATTAACTGAGTATGAAAATACAATCATTAAACACATTATATAGGTGCTTATAAGTCAAGAATAGAGCATTTGTAACTGCTTACTAACGTTTATTAATGTAGAGTTACTGCTTAACAGATAATGAATTCACTATTTGCTAATGCTTAATAAATGATTTATAGTGTGTAGTTATAATAAAGTGTTACCGAGGTGACATTCAAAAATAATCCAATAATAACTAATTAAACCAGGATTTCTCTATTTTTAGCCAAAAAGCCTGATAGATTAATGTTGTGCAATGAAATATAGTGTCACTGGAAACACGCATGACAGTGCTTTTACATAGTTCATTCATAGATAGAGCAGCCAGAAAGCGGAAACTGATGGATTTGAGCCGCATATTAGCATCATTGACCCATAACAACGTACAGTAAGTTACATATTACTGTCAGTATGTGTGTGTGCTCTTTATAAATGACTGAAAAACAGCTGCGGGTAATGTATATTGATCGCAAATGCTCAGTTTGTGATCATATCTCAGTTTAGTTCTGTTGATTTGTAATTTCAAATATTCGTAGCTTGAAATTGATGGAAATATGAAGTTCAGTAAAGTTAGCTACAGATTCGTATTTTCCGGATCAATAACTCATGTCATTATGACCTATTCGCTATTAGTATGACTAACGCTACTATGGTGAAGGCTTAAACTGAGCAGTGCTCATAATATGGAGCGAAAAAAAAAGAATAAGACAGCTGTGAAACATAACCAGCTTCATGTTTTTTTAGGAAATACAGTTTAGATTGGTTTTGGGTAAGAGGTGTGTGAGTTATTGCTGTCGGTCTATCACTGAATGTGTCAGGAATATCAAAACAAAACCAACTTAATTCCGCTCCCTTAGCGCCCCTCACAGAGCTTGATCCACGCTGGCATTTCTCCTCTTGGGTTTTAGGTTTTGAAAAGGGAAAAATTCCACCATCCCGTCCAAACTTTAAGGAGAGCGGGTATCAGATTCGCACAATCCATATGCACTCGCTCGGAAGCTTGACAGAGCCCCTGCGTGTAGCTACAGTTGCTAAGCCACGATTAGTGGGTGGCGGTTTTTGGGTGTGGCTTAGCAAAGGGTCAATTCTAAACATATTTTTTTAGAAAACTAATTGCAAACACAAATCCTTCGAAAACACACCAGGATATAAACCCAAAACATGGCGCTAATATTAATAATAACATTTTTTTTATTTAAAAAATACTTTTATCTTCTTCTGCCAAAAATAATACAAAACTTGGTCACACATTTACTGTCTACACACTATTATTATGTTTGCTGTAAAGCATATCAATTTATGCTAAGTGCTTAAGAACAAACCAAAACAACAACACATCAAGACGAGGGTCTATTCATCTTCACT